GTTGTAGAAAACTACACTATTGGGTCATTTGTTTATATTACTGTAGTTGTTGTGTTACCATAGCAACTGTAGAATCACCACAACAGATCAATTACTGTAGTTGTTGCGTTACCATAGCAACTGTAGAATCACCACAACAGATCAATTACTGTAGTTGTTGTGTTACCATAGCAACTGTAGAATCACCACAACAGATCAATTACTGTAGTTGTTGTGTTACCATAGCAACTGTAGAATCACCACAACAGATTAATTACTGTAGTTGTTGCGTTACCATAGCAACTGTAGAATCACCACAACAGATTTATTACTGTAGTTGTTGTGTTACCATAGCAACTGTAGAATCACCACGACAGATTAATTACTGTAGTTGTTGTGTTACCATAGCAACTGTAGAATCACCACAACAGATCAATTACTGTAGTTGTTGCGTTACCATAGCAACTGTAGAATCACCACAACAGATCAATTACTGTAGTTGTTGTGTTACCATAGCAACTGTAGAATCACCACAACAGATCAATTACTGTAGTTGTTGTGTTACCATAGCAACTGTAGAATCACCACAACAGATTAATTACTGTAGTTGTTGCGTTACCATAGCAACTGTAGAATCACCACAACAGATTTATTACTGTAGTTGTTGTGTTACCATAGCAACTGTAGAATCACCACGACAGATTAATTACTGTAGTTGTTGCGTTACCATAGCAACTGTAGAATCACCACAACAGATTAATTACTGTAGTTGTTGCGTTACCATAGCAACTGTAGAATCACCACAACAGATTAATTACTGTAGTTGTTGTGTTACCATAGCAACTGTAGAATCACCACAACAGATTAATTACAGTAGTTGTTGCGTTACCATAGCAACTGTAGAATCACCACAACAGATTAATTACTGTAGTTGTTGTGTTACCATAGCAACTGTAGAATCACCACAACAGATCAATTACTGTAGTTGTGGTGTTACCATAGCAACTGTAGAATCACCACAACAGATTAATTACTGTGGTTGTTGTGTTACCATAGCAACTGTAGAATCACCACAACAGATCAATTACTGTAGTTGTTGTGTTACCATAGCAACTGTAGAATCACCACAACAGATCAATTACTGTAGTTGTTGTGTTACCATAGCAACTGTAGAATCACCACAACGGATTAATTCAAGTGCTTCACTATAATATGGGACAAATAACTATGTGTAATATTTGACTATACAGAGCATTTTGGGGGGTGCAAACAATGACAATCCAAACGTATTTTCCGGTTTTACATTTCTAACTTCTGAGACTCCAAAAAGGTCAGTATATTAATTAAAACATTACGGCAGATGTGCTAACATCAGTTATGACTGAATCCCTCATTTCTCAAATAGTTTGATATAATGCTTTGAAGAATGCTGCAGTTGCAAACAACACAGAATCCCTTCAGGGTTATTTATTTAAGGAAAGACCTCTCCTTTTATACCTCAAATATCTGAGACAACAGAAGACTGAAAAAACGAAGATCAGTCGCATATGTTTGGGTCATATATCCCTTTATTGTCTCCAGGGAGCTTGTTCACACTTAAGATATCCAGTCAGAAATTGTCCATATATGAAAGCAAAGCTGGCGTCATCAGACTGGGGGCTCGTGAATGCACTTTTATAGGAAAATAATTTCATTTGAACACAAATCACCCAGAGAGAAATATACAGACGGGCTGCTAATCGTGTGGATGTCCTGATCACCATCCTGTGCGTGTTTTTATCTGCTGTTTAATTGGGTATAATAGCCAAACACAAGACATCATTAAACAGTTCAGATGATCCGCATTCTCCTTAGTTTTTACCACACTACAGACAGGAATAACAATGAAAGAGTGCCGAGAGAGAGAGAGTCAGAAACATTATTACAAACCATCCCAATGAATGTACAGCTGTATATTGTATTTCATTTAATAAATTAAATTTGCTTTATTGTTATGACTGGCACAGTATTGCCAAAGCAAGGTAAGGTTAGGTTACTTTATTTATACCCGAAGGTTGATTTGGTTTGCAGCCAGAAGTCCTCATTTCATAACACTGCCACACAAAATACTTGTACAGTGACAACAACATAAAGACATAAAACATACGAAACACTCTCTGCTAAAAAAAAATAAATAAAGAAATATTATCTTTAAGTGTTTGTATTGTTTATGTCTACAGCTTGATGCCAAAGCCTGCGATTAAAGCGAAGGAGCTGAAGCTCTGAGTGTAGGGGACAAGCGGTGTCATTTAAAATTCATTCGTTTGTTTTCTTTTTGGCTTAGTTTAAGACATAAAAAGAATTTAAAATAAATAAAATAAAATAAATAAATATATACAATCATTTATCATTATCTTTTTTACACTATCTTTTTAATAATTATATATATATATATATATATATATATATATATATATATATATATATATATATATATATATATATATATATATATATATATATATATATATATATATATATTGTTCTTATTTGTGTACATATCCAACTATTCTTTTATTGATTGCTTATATTATGTGCATTACTTTGGCAATACTTGACAAGTCATGCCAATTAAGCTCTTTTCAATTGAACTGAATGGGTTATCTGCACTTTTAGTTTCAGTCAGCCAGCCTCAGCACTTCCGGTGAGCTGTCTTTCCATTATAAAGTTGCCACGTTTGAGGTCTGATTACTTTAGGAATCAGTGAACTTCCCTGCCTGGCGGATATGCGATATAAAGTGGCTCTCAGACTGGACAAGAAGCACTGCATTAAATTACATTTGACATATCTTTAAAATATGGAAATTAATTTAACCCCAGTATTTTCAGTGGAGTTTCTGCGCTTGCCCGCTGATCCAGACAGCACTTGTTTTTAAACTGTCTTTCATCTCTTGTTATGCTTGAACAACTAAATGAATGCTTAAGTTTATTTAACTGAATGTATTGTAATTACAGCATCGATGCTGTAAAAGGAACCTTATGAAACTAAAGGCTTTCACTGGAAGTTCATCATTGGCTGAAAACACTGTGCATATGGCCCACTGAGTTGAGTAGAGAGAGAGAAAAAGAGAGAGAACACAACTGCATTAGTTGCACCATCAATGTTTCATATAAATATATAAATATGTATGTATTTTATTGTTTTATAACATGTATATATTTCTTTCCCTTTTAAAACGTATATTATTATTGTTGTCATTTACATCAGTGTTGTTATTATTATTATTATTATTATTATTACTTGCTTATATTGTGTTTTTTTCTGCTATGTGTACTTTGGAAATGTCATGTGTAAAAGTCAAAATTATTCGTCCTCCCGTTAAATTTTAATTCTTTAAAGTTTTTCCCCAATTTCAGATTTTCTTCAGCACATTTCTGCACGTAATAGTTTAATAACTCATCTGTAATAACTGATTTCTTTTCTCTTTGCCATGATGACAGCACATAACATATATAATGTAACACTAGATATTCTTCAAGACTAGGGATGCAACAATTAAGCGATTTCACTATTAACCGTGATTTAATTAGTCAAGGTTAATTAAACTTTAAGGCTTTTCAACAACACGGAACAAAACTGCTGCAACTAAACAAAGTTATGCCAACTGTGCGCTAGTTTAAGGTTCTGAGCTTGTGCACCGAGGTTAACACACACGCACACAAGGTTTAACTATGGCTGATGCTATTAACTAAGGGCCCTTCACATTTAGCATTTTTTGCTCGCACAAATTCGAGTAGGTGTGTCTATAAATGCGGGTAGAAATGTGTATATAAAGCACGAGTGTGTTGCAGCGTGCACAATATGCGAGCACAAGCAGTGCGCCTCCATTGGAAGCGACATGTGCGCGCTGCAACACACTCACGCTTTATATACACATTTCTACTCGCATCCAAACAGGAGGAAAATGCAAAATAATAACACCAAATATTTCTGTTGTATGGTTGATCTAAAGTGCCTTTAGACAGACATCCAGCAGTCTTTCACTACATTTGTTCTCTTAAAAATGGAAATACTTACATTTACATGAGAAAATACTTAGAAAATGGAAGAAAATAGATTTACATTAGACAAATACTGTTTGTTTATTTATTTGATCATTTATTATTTATTTGTTTATTTATTTATTTGCTTTTTCATTTATTTATTATTTGTTTATTTATTAATTTATTGTTTGATTATTTATTTGTTCATTTATTATTTATTTATTTATTTATTTGTTTTTATGTATTTATTTTTTTATTTGTTTATTAATAATTTATTCATTTATTGTTTGTTTTATTATTTCTTTATTCATTTATTATTTATTTATTTATTTATTTGTTTTTATGTATTAATTTTTTTATTTGTTTATTAATAATTTATTCATTTATTGTTTGTTTTATTATTTATTTATTCATTTATTCTTTTTTATTCATTTATTTTCAGTTTAAAATTATTACTTGTTTAAATGTCAGAAACTTTTTTCACTTATTTTTAAGTCCAAGGAGAAATGGACTATTGTTAGTTCATTGTTAATAATTTGTGTTGTACAGTATTATTTGGTTACCGAGCATCAATAAATAACACTTTAAAATATAAAGAGTTTCCATGTGATTTTAGAAACTAGTAGTTTTAAAATCAATGAATGCATAATAATCGTGAAACCGTGATCATTCCTCAAAATATAATCGTACAACCAAAAACTATAATCGTTGCATCCCTATTAAAGACACTAGTATTCAGCTTAAAGGCTTTACTAGGGTAATTAGGGTAAAGTTAGGGTAATTAGGCAAGTCATTGTATAACAGTGGTTTATTCTGGAGACAATCCAACACTAATATTGCTGAAGGGGTGAATAATATTGACCTTAACATGACTTTAAAACAATTAAAAACTGCTTATATTCTAGCCCAAATAAAACAAATAAGACTTCCTCCAGAAGAACAAATATTAGAAAAAACACTATGAAAAATTCCTAAATCGGTGCAACATCCTTTGGGAAATAATGGATAAAGAAAATTCACAGGAGTTTAAATAATTCTGACTTCAACTGGTAATCGTGCTAATAAAGTGAATTGAACTGAGAGTGTGTGTGTGTGTGTGTGTCTGTCCTGCGCACAGTGAGCAGGTTGTCAAGCAGCAGTCCGTTTTATGTGCAGAAAGTGTGTGTGTGTGTGTGTGTGTGTGTGTGTGTGTGTGTGTGTGTGCGTGTGTGTGTCAGCTCAGTCTGGATACAGGATGAAGCCAGAAAATGTACTGTATTTGTTGTTGTTTCCGCCGTGTGCTTTTCCGCCGTCCAGTTTGACATAAATCTCGTCTCCAGAGTCCAGATGCAGAACCACACTGTTGCTGGCGTAATCGTAGTTCTGATCGGCGTCCTGCGCGATGGCGCTCGCACGAACCTGCTCAGAGAAACACACAGAGAGACGCTTACAGTCTGCAGTCCAGCAGATTCAGCTTTAAAGTGCTCATGAGATCAAAACTAACCATGTTGATGTTGTTAGCTCACATTGCTAGTTTAGTGCTGAACAGTTAATCTGAGCATGTCATTAAGAGAAATAAATTGGTTTGCTCTTGTGATCTTTAATTGAAATCTGAAAAAGCACTTTGGGTTTGTTTCCAGTTAAATTCTCAGATTAGATCTGTCTGAGGTATTGGGCGGGGCTTACATACTTAACCACGCCCCTCCATCTGTCATCACTATGACAGCAGACAGAAATGGTGAGCAGGAGGAGTCTGTTAGGCTGTGATAACTCTTTCCAAACCCTTTCCCCATCTTTCTGAACGACACACCGGCACTACCTGACAAAAGGCTTGTCATGGATCCCAGTTGTAAGAGCAGCAAATAATAACCTGACTTACAGTGGATCACGTGTAAAAGTGTCAGAAGGTGGATTTCTCTGCTGAATCATCTGTAGATCTGCATCAATCATCACCAATACTGCAGAAGACCAACTGGAACCAGCATGGACCAAGATTCTCATAGAAATCAGTCAAGTTTGGTGAAGGAGAAATCATGGTTTGGGGTATATTCAGTATGGAGAGATCTGCAGAGTGGATGATCAACATCAACAGCCTGAGGCATCAAGACGTCTGTGCTGCCCATTACATTACAAACCACAGGAGAGGGACAATTCTCCAGCAGGATAGCGCTCCTGCTCATACTCCAGCCTCCACATCAAAGCTCCTGAAAGCAGAGAGTGCTCCAGGATTGGCCAGCCCTGTCACCAGACATGACCATTATTGAGCTGATGAAGGAGGAGGTGTTGAAGATGAACACAAAGACTCTTGATGAACGTCCTGCTGAAGGCTTTCTTCTTCATTCCAGATGACTTTATTAATCAGTGATGTGAGTCATGTCAGAGATGTATGGATGCAGTCCTCCAAGCTCATGATGGAGTCAGACACAATATTCATTCTGTCTCCACTGCAGCAGGACTTTATATTCTATACTGGACATTATTTCTGTTCAGTGATGAGACTTTAGTCTGAGCAGAGTCAGACCGCACTGTCCTCATCAAATCAGTCAACATGAAGACATGATCAGATTTATTGAGCTCAAATCAGCAAAATCTAGAGGCCTTCGCCTTTCATAGAGACAATTCTGATGGCAAATCATCAGCTAGAAGTCAACTTGTTATTTGCTGTTCCTAACACTCGGATAGATGACAAGACTTTTCTCAGGTAGTGTAGTTTACTACATCCAATCAGCTCGCAGTGGAAAAAAAACAAGCCACACCCACTGTTTTCTCCTTTAATATTCCGTTTTCTCTAGGAACTGCGTCACAATATGGAGAAAAGTTCATTTTCATTTGTTTTCTTTTCGGCTTAGTCCCTTTATTAATCTAGTGTCGCCACAGGGGAATGAACCGCCAACTTCATTCATTTTCTTTTTGGCTTAATCCCTTTACTTATCATAGGTCGCCACAGCGGAATGAACCGCCTACTTATCCAGCATATGTTTTACGCAGCGGATGCCCGTCCAGCTGCAACCCATCACTGGGAAACACACACTCTCATTCAGATTTATAGGTGATTTAGATTTATATTCAGATTTAGAATTATAGGTGTGCATTTTACCTTCTTATGCATCAAACGTGAGCTCCACACTTTTTCTTGATTGAGACATGTTGAATTCTTCATTCATCATTTGCGGTGTTTCTAAATTACATTGCAATTTCTCTCACCATTTTTTATATCTGTGTTATATTTTCTGTGGTGGTTCAGACCCCTGATAAATACGGGACTAAGCCAGAGTAAAGTGAATTAGTTTCTGTAAAGCTGCTTCTGGCCATGACGCGTTCACACCTGAAGAGATGCGTTTAAGGTATTATATGCAGCATTCTTGATTTATTCTCTTAGGTATGGCAAGATCCTTCACACTTAGAGGGAAAATGTGCTCAATTATAAAGCTTAAAGCATTAGAATAGGCACTCAGTATCAACCGATCACCATGACAAGGAATCAGTACTCTGTATTAGCTGCAAAACTCCTGATCGGAGCATCCCTAGCTTTCACCCAGCTTGGCTGTCAGAGCAGCAATACTCGCCCTACAAGACTGATCTTGGTAAGTCAGTAAATGCACCCTTGGAAAAAAGAAGTATACTTAAGTAAAGGTCAAGTATAAACGTATACTTTATTTGGTAAGCATACTACTATCAATGTAGTAGTGTACTTTAAATGTTCTTACAGAAGCCCCTTAAGATATACTGCAGTAACAAAAGCTGCACACTTTGAGGATCAAGAAGATATTAAAATAAATGTTCATTTTTAGCTTGTACGGTGGTACAGTTCAAATAATTGTTCAGTTTTTTACTGCTGTCATTAAAAGAAACAAATGAACACCATGACTCCTTGTGTCGGTGTCAGTCTGAACAGCCGCGCCGCTTCACAACACACTGTATAATGCAAATCACTGAAGTATGGTTGAAAACACACACATTTACTCTAGTGTTTTTCTTCATGTGGGCTCTTTCGAGGTCTTAGAGCAGGTAGCTTATTATCCGACTAGTTAAAAGCAAAATAGTAGCGTGATGACAGGATTTTATTGATCTATTTTATTGATGAAACCTGCAAGTTAAAAGTTGCTGTTTTATTTATTTTTTCATTTTTATGTATTTATTTATTCATTTATTATTTATTTGTTTATTTATTTATTCGTTTATGTATTTATAATTTATTTATTTACTTAATATTTGTTTATTTATTCATTTATTGTTTATTTATTTATTATTTGTTTATTTGTTTTATGTATTCATTCATTTATTTATTTATTTGTTTGTTTATTTTTTATTTGTTTTATGTATTTATTCATTTATTTGTTTATTAATATTTTATTTATTTATTTATTTATTTATTTATTTATTTATTTATTTATTGTTTATTTATTTATTCATCTAGTTTTGTGAGCTAATCTAAAGTGAGGACTATTCATGCTTTATAAATCCCTTATAAATGACAATTAAAGGCTCAGTTAAATTCTAAACAGGAAAAATTACATTATTCATTCCTATTCATTTAAAGATGCACAAATAAAACTGCACTTCAAATTAAAAATAAATCGTTGCAACCTGATCTAAAATAAAATCACTGTAGAGTTTAAACATTACATCTTAAAATATTGTTAAATTACAATATTCTTGTTGTTTTATCCGTTTTTTTGTCGTATTTTGATACTCCTGTTATTCAGCAATGTTTAAACTTTACAGTAATTTTACTTTTCAGATAAGATTGCAATGATTATTGTTCATTTGATTCTGAGCCTTTATTAGTCATTTATAAGAGATTTATAAAGCATGAATTATCTAAGCATAAATAGTCATATTAGTAAATGCCTGAATAATAAGATATATAAACGGTGATTTCAATAGATTATTAATCATTTACTCACTAATTTTGAATTATCCTAAAAACCCTCAACTACTCTCAAATACAACTGGTTTTTAAATAATGTGAGACTGAATTTAGTAATGAAATATAAATCATTAACTAAGTATGAAAATACAATTATTAAACACATTATAGGTGCTTATAAGTCAAGAACACAGCATCTGTATCTGCAGTTATAAACTGCTTACTAACGTTTATTCTGCATGTGGATTTGGGAAGCTTTTAAATTTGGGTATAGGCAAAATCCAGGAGGAAATCCCAAAATAACAGCAGAGTTTAACTGGTTAAATTCAGCCCAAATTAATTGTTTACAACCACTTCACTTAAAAGATGTAGTAAATGCAAGGACTCAGCTTTGAATATTTTTTTCAGTTCATTACTTGGGTAACACTTTATAATAACTACACACTATAAATCATTCATTAAGCATTAGCATTAAGTGAATTCGTTATTTGTTAAACAAACAAATTAAGTTGAACATAACTACATTTCATTTGTTTGTTTAAATTCAGCACATAGCCTATAAATTGTTTGCCACAAATTTGCAGGCATCTGTTTTTCCTTACAGGATTGTAAGTTTTTACTGAACCATTAATTCGCGCGATGCGTCTGTACCTGTCCGTTTTTGCAGAGGTCTGCCCACATGCTGGTTCCGTCCCCTCCGCGCATCAGCACATGGTACGTGAAGTAGTAAATCCCGGACACCTGACAGGTAAACTTGCCGGTAGTGGGATCATAGTGATTTCCAACATTTGTCACAACATCATCAAAGCGGAGCACCTCGTAGCCTTCATGAGGGTTTTTCAGACCCACGTAAAAGGCGATCTTCGCGTTTCCCAAAGCAGGACCGACGTCTCCGGTCTCAGTCCGCGCCGTTCCTGAAGCGACGCCGGTAAATCCCGGTCTGCCGGAGTCTCCAGGCGGACCCCTTGGACCGGGAGGACCGGGCTCTCCAGGAGGACCCCTGGGTCCGGGTTTGCCCGGACGGCCCGGTTCTCCTCTGGTGCCCTGAGCGAAAGCCGGCGGGATGGCGCTGAGGTCCTGCATCACCTCCAGAGCCGTGGCGCTCGGTTTGGGGTTGTAGGGGTCGCAGATCATCCGGCAGGTGCCCATCATCTCGTAGTGTGCGGCCGCGGGGGTGCGCAGCAGCAGCGGGAGCGCGATCACCAGCGCCGCGATCATGATGACGCCCGTGAGCGCGCAGACCGAGCGCCTGCTGAGGAGCGCCTGTGAAGCTCGCGCTGGAGAGTCCGGATGGGGTTTGGAGGAAATGGTGACGCGCGAGCTGGAAAAGCGCACCAAGAAAAAAGTTCGTTTAAATGTATAGAACAATACCCGCGCTCCCCACCGATGCTGAAATGTGTCGTGATTCCTCCTCCCTGTGACCCCTGGCAGAACAGCGCTGTGTGCGCCCGAGCCAAAGAGACACCGGTGGCACGCGACGCGCGCTGACGTAGCGCTTATTCTGCGCTCTGAGCATCTCCGTTAAACGGTCTTTATAGAATCTCTAGAAACATTTTACACTCTTTAGAACCTCGTGTAAATAGTCATTTCTGACTTAATCTGGCTTAAAGAATCTTTTTAGAATCTATTGAACTGTGTGTAAATAAAGAGATCAGAGATGATCTGAGTTTAACATGTGTTCTCGTTCAGCAGAACGGGTTTATATATATATAGTTGAAGTCAGAATTATATGTCTGATAATATTTTTTGTTCTGGAGAAAGTCTTATTTGTTTTATTTCAGCTAAAATAAAAGCCATATTTAATTTTTAAACACCACTTTGAGGACAAAATTATTAGCCTATTAGCCCCTTTAAGCTATATATATATATATATATATATATATATATATATATATATATATATATATATATATATATATATATATATATATATATATATATATTTAAATGTCACTTAGAGCTGTATAGAAGTGTCTTGAAGAATATCTAGTCTAATATTATTCACAAAAGAGAGAAAGAGAAAAGACATCAGTTCTTAGAGATGAGTTACTAACACTATTATGATTAGAAATATATATATATATATATATATATATATATATATATATATATATATATATATATATATATATATATATATATATATTTTTTTTTTTTTTCTTTTTTTTTTTTTTTTTTTTTTTTCAGAAAATGGTACTTTACCAAGTACCAGAGAATGGCATTTCTTGGTTTGGATGTTTGAGGTGTAGAATGATGAGATGTTTCAGAAATCGTATAGCTAGAAAAGATTTTGTGTGTTAGCAGTTGGAAAAAACAGTATAGGCCAAATATTATTGGTGTATGTAGCATAAAAACAAACATACTGTCAGTAAAAATAAATATATATATATATATATATATATATATATGTATATATTTAAATGCAAAGCAGAAGTATATTCTCCCGAATACAGTGAAGAACACAATTGTGTGTGGGGTCTTGAAGGAGATGCATCATGCAGGCATACTGACTCATCATACACTTTCCAGAGCCAGGCTGAGAAGAATTACTCTACTCTTTTCTATGCGGATTTAGGATTTAGTAAAGGTGAATATGCGGTTGGTACAAAACTACAAATTGTGGATGCCTGAAAACCAGTTTTTTTTTTTTTGGACTAGAATATTCTGGTTCCTCTCACCTTTGACCTATTTATAGGTCTGTTCTACAGTAAAGCAGTGATCGGTTACTGATCAGTTATGAAATGAGTGTTTCCACACGTGAGGAGTGTGTGTGTGTGTGTGTGTGTGTGTGTGTGATCAGGTGGATAAGTGTAGCATTTTGACTGGTTGTGTTTGGAAAAGGAAAGCAAGTGGCTTCCTCTTAGGTTTGTGTGTTTTCAGTAGAGAGTTGTGTGTAGTGTTTTGAGAAAAACAATTGAAAACTGAGATGAAGGCTGAGAAACAGCTTCAGGTGTTGGAGATTTGCTGTGCAGTTCTGCGTTTCGAGTGAGAGGTTTCCCAAATCATGTAACAAGAAAAGATTTTGTGTGTAAGCAGCTGGAATACTGTGACTGGCTTTATTAGTGACCTGTGAAGTGTGTATTCTCCTCCAGATGTTTCTCATGTGGTGTTGTGATTAGAGCAGGGAGATTTACTCAGTATTTAAGAGGACATCTTTAATTCTGTGAATAATGACTGCATAGTGGCATAAACATGTGATATTGATCAATAGTGCAGTGCTGTGGTGATTTGAGGGGTCAGTGGAGTCTGCTGTATTCCTCTGTCCTGGTGTCGTCCACCAGATCCAGCACAACATGACTGTGCATGCTTAATTATTACAGTAATGACTCACCTCATCCTGAAGAAGAGCTCACTCTACTGCTGCACATGACCTTGACCTGCTGTGTGTGTGTGTGTGTGTGTGTGTGTGTGTGTCTGTCTGTGCTTTAGCTTATCTGCTCACTGGTCTGTAGATGTGGGTCTGACTGCTGTGACTCAGGGTTACGTGTGTGTGACAGAGACCACAACCATGAATAAACTCACACACACAGACACACACACACACATACTTGTATATATGGTTTACAGGGACACTCTACATGCGTGATGTATTCCATACTGAACAAATCTTTATATGTCCCTAACCCAACCCAGGCAGCACGGGGGCTCAGTGGTTAGCACTGTGCAGGAAGAAGGTCGCTGGTTCGAGTCCCGAGTGGCTCAGTTAGCATTTCTGTGTGGAGTTTGCATGTTCTCCCTGTTTTGGCGTGGGTTTCCTCCGGGTACTCCGGTTTACCCCACAGTCCAAACACATGCGCCACAGGGGAATTGATGAAGTAAATTGGCCGTAGTGTATGAGTGTGTGTGTAAATGAGTGTGTATGGGTGTTTCCCAGTACTGTGGTGCAGCTGGAAGGGCATCCACTGTGCAAAACATATGCTGTAATTGTTGCCGGTTCATTCCGCTGTGGCGACCCCTGATAAATAAGGGACTAAGCTGAAGAAGAATGAATGAATGAATGAATGAATGAATGAATTGTCCTACTCAATGCAGTAAATGAAAACGGTCAGATAATACACTACAGACAAAAAGCACCCATCTTCTGCCAACACACACACACACACACACACACTGGTATGTGTGTGTAAATGTCAGTGTGCCGGCAGCAGTGAATGTCTCCTGCTCCAGTTCTATAGCACTGAACCCTGCATACATTACCAGCCTCTCAGGACACACACACTTTAAATGCTAGCGTTGGCCTTTATGCGCACACACACACACTTCCACATGAATACACATACAGTACATAATGTAAAGGGGGTAAAGTCTGGGTCGAGCAAGGTAAGACAAGGCCACCTGTAAATCTGTAACTGTATATCTAATCCGCAAAATAAGTGTTTTATTTTTTTAGCAACATTTTTACAGGTTTTTTGTTACCGTAATTTAAATGGTGGACACATCTGTAGCCTAATTAACAGAACGTTTCCCTTTTATATATGGTAAAAAACTGTAAATTCTCCAAATTCCCAGCATGACACTTCACTTTTTATGCTTTTTGTGCAACACAGATTTTGGATATGTACCCCTGTCTACATTTGACGAGAGCGCAAAATATGTACCCAGAGGTACGTTTGGCTCTATTTTGTCTGTGAAATGAATGCTGTGGGGCGGTATGACGCTGCCGATGGCTCATGCTCCTTTTCAGGCTGTCGCTGACCGCTCACCTCCACATGGACGGCTTTTCTGGTATTTGACTAGTAGCTCACCACATAAGGTGATGGACTTGGAACGCCGAGCGAAGTTCAAAGCAACAATGGGGGTTTAGTCTGGCGAACAATGATCTCAGAAACCAGATAATACAAAATCAATACAATAAACAAACAACAGGATAAAAATGTGGTGAAATCATGCGACAGCTTTTCTTTTTCTAGATCAGCTTTTGAAAACACTATCGGTTGGGTTTTAGGGACGTGGGTAAGCTGACAGCATGCTGGCCGGGTCAGCTGAAGTGTATATTGCACACTCTGGTGGATTTATACGGAAAGGGCATCCGCCGAGAGGAATCAAAAAGCGTACACAGCGGTCTTGGATTTGCAAAAACAAAAACTGCTAGCAAACATAGCTCCAGTTACATATTTCACTGTTCCCACAAATGTAAACCTGAGTGTGTTTCCACAATGAGCCTGGATTATTTTTGTCGACATTACTACTGTTGTCAGTTTTATGTGTTTTTCCAATCAGTGATGTACAATAGAGTGTATATTATGCCTAATGTTGATAATCAATGTTTATTCCATTAGTTTAACGTGTGTTACCTTGGTGGTATTTGGGGGTTATGTGAATGACATGGAGCACCTTATAGACATATCATTGTGTGTTTGTCTACTTGTCTATAAGTTATAAGCTTTGGTTTATCATAAATCTTTCTCGTCACTACATGCTTGTGGTTGTGTTTTTGTCAGTAACAAAAATTAAATGTGTAGACGTTCATACTACACTAGTGCATATTACTAAATTAATCAACCCATGCTCACTCTGAAAACACTTTTTCACATCTCAAAGTTTCACATCTCGCGCCTGCGGTTCTCTCGTGAATCCACCAGAGGCCGCTGTGTACACTTTTTCACATCTCGAATTTCTCTCACAAGTGCAATTCGCACCTGCGGTTCTCTCGTAAATCCACCAGAGGCCGCTGTGTACACTATTTCACACCACAAATTTCTCTTGAGAGTGCCATTCGCGCCTGTGGTTCTCTTGTAAATCCACCAAAGGCCGCTGCGTACACTTTTTCACATCTCAAATTTCTCTTGCGAGTGCCATTCACGCCTGTGGTTCTCTCATAAATCCACCAGAGACCGCTGTGTACACTTTTTCACATCTCAAATTTATCTAGCGAGTGCCCTTCGTGTCTGGTGTTCTTGTGTAAATCCACCAGAGGCCGCTGTTGACTGACTGACTGACTGACTGACAGATTGACTGACCCACCCTCCCACTTTCCTAAACCCAACTAATGGTGTTTTCAAAAGCAATCCAGAAAAAGAAAAGCTCTCACTTGATTTTTACCACGTTTTCACCGTTATTTACTTGTTTATTTAATTTTTTTGGGCTTTTGTTTTTGTCTTACCTGCTTTCTGGAACTGTTATTTGTCAAACTCGAACCCCGGCGTCGTGATCAACTACACTCTGCGTCTCAAGTCCTCCAACGTACATGTAGAGCTACCTGAGTAAATTGGTTACAGTGGTAAAGTCGTCTACACGGTGGTAAGCGGTCAGCTGGTAGCACGAAAAGGAACGGCATCATACCGCTATGTAGCCTTCGTTTTAAAGATGAAATGCAGGAATACGGACTTCTGGCTACATAATTCAAGCTCTCTAGAAATGTAAATAGGGCTACGTTTTCAGAACGAAATTAATGAAATACAGTAGTTTACTGTAAAAGTGCCTTTTTTGAGCCAACTATGTTCCAATGGCTGCTCTTGTTCCTTAAAGAATAAGGTCAAGGCCATAACTC